GCTGAGATTCACTTTGAGGAGTTAGGGGACATCACCACTATTTTGTCACCCAGAAATTCAGAAATTCCTCTCAGAGAGTGGGACAGTTCCTTTTGTCATGAGAGTTAAGATGCCGTATCAGTCACTTAGTTTTAGAAGCTTTATTTGTTATTGAGTTCTCTGCCTTTGCAGAGGAGAGAGAGCGCAAACAGTGCGGGTGAGCAGAACCTAAAGCTTAAAACTTCCTGCGCCAAACCTTTAATAAATTCACTGTTGACAGATCCTGTGAAATCTTCAAAGCCTAGCCTTTAAAATATAATGTGAATAGAATAGTAATTATAGATTGAAAGTAGTGCTGATTCATCACTCACGGCGAGGGAAGTTTTTAAGCTAAGGTGTCTTGAAGGATTACTGCAAAAAGCCTTCTTATCTTGAAGAGAGATTAACTCAGTTTTTTTAGTGTGAATGTGCAGGTAAATGGAGATAAGACTTCTCTCTGCATATTTTTATAAAGGTCAGTTCTTAGCATTCAATCCCATTCTAGCCTTCTTCTATCACATTCTAGTCTTATTTTAAGTTCAGTGTGTAAGGAGGGGGCTATTTGGGGGGCAATGTCTGAAGCTGAGAGCCTCCTCTATCACGAAGCTTCTAAATGTGGTCAGGAATGGCTCCAAAGAGGCTCCCCATCTTTAAAAAGTGGTTTTCCACATGCGCCTTGTAACTGCAATGTGGGTGATATAGCTCTATGTTTACATATGGCAGATAGGGAAGAATAAGTACAGACAGGGTAGCAACAGCAGAGATAGGATTCATTTGCATATGTGAAGCCGATTGGTCATATGCAGATTAGTGTAGGCCCAGGATTTGAAAAGGCTGCTAGGCCAAAATGACAGTTGGGGAGAGCAGAGCTGAACATTCCAAAGGGGCGGAGCCAAGGTTCTGTGTTAAAGACTTCTGATATAGAGAAGCAGTTAGTTAAATAGAGCTCGAGTTTTAAGGAACATAAAGAAGGCTAGTGTTGCCTTAGTTCAGAATATAATTCAGCCAAGAGTGTGTAAAGCAAGTAACATGTTTGTGAATGTGAAACATTGATAGTTTATTCAGAAAAGTTAACCAAGTAAATGATACTGACTGTAAGCCTCAAGATTGCAACAAAACACAAATGTAACCACAACCGTTGGAGCCAGAAGTTATAAATAAACTGTGTTACTTCGTTATACACAAGAGTGTTTCATTGCCTGTGATATAAAGTACAAAGGTTTAACAGCACACAGAAAGTCCCTGCCAATATAAAAGAAAAAACTGAATCAGTATAAGGCAGCAAAGAGGTTTTTAAAGAGGAAATAGTCTCTCTCCCTCGCCTCAGCTTCCCTCCTAATATAACAACAATTAAAACAATAAATATAACATTGATTAAAACAATAAAAACAGTATTAACCGCTGTATCACCATTCCAGTCAAATTCCATCTCCAAAGTGCTATTTATGCCTGATGTCCAAAAGTCTGGTTCCAGAACCATAACTTCAATTTCTTCCTAAAAGATAGGAGGGTGAAGCCCATCTTACCTTGTTGGGAACCATTTAGGATCATCTGGGGAGACCCTGCTCTCGCTCCCGCCAGTGTCGAAAAGACGTCTGGCAGGGACGAGAGACTGGGCCTTCTACTGAGCCAATCTTACCTCAGTGGGAAGCGAGTTCCACAGGCAGGGGGCCCCAGCCAAGAAGGCCCTGTCTCTCATCACCACCAGACATATTTGCAATGCTGGCGGAAGTGAGAGCAGAGCTTTCCCAGTGATCTTAAACTGCAAGGCAGGACGTAGAGGGAGATGTGTTCAGACAAGTAAGCTGGGCCAGAATTGTATAGGGATTTATAGGTCAAACCTAGTCCCAAAATGTAATTCATTATTCAGCATGTTAAACAATGCATTGAATCCATTAAACTTCGAAGGATTCGAAGTATCCTATGTTAAGTTTTATTCTTAGGAAAATTATACCAATCATGCAGATTGGTGGAGGCATTTCAGAAAATTGGGAAGCCCACTTGAGCATATTGAAATCTGAATCCAAACCATTGTAACAGGAATTAGAAAATACCATAAAAGAAAGACCAAGAAACTTAAATACCCAAGGCTCATCTTAGACTTTACCAGACTGGTACAGAATTATTTATTTATTTATTTATTATTTATTTATTTATTTATTTATTTGACTTGTATACCGCTACTCCCAATTTGGCTCAGAGTGGTTTATAGCAGTAGATTAAAACAATACAATTAGTTTTAAAATACAATAAAAACAAGAACAGACATAGTCCCGAGTTATTCACCCATCGAAACCTTGTCGGAAGAGGAAGGTTTTACAGGCTTTCCAAAAAGCAAGTAGGTCTTGGATAGATCGGGTTTCAACTGGCAAAGCATTCCATAAATAAGGGGCCACAATTGAGAAGGCTCTCTGCCTAGTAGAGGACAGATGATAAGGATGTTGGGGACTTCAAGCAAATTTTGGTCTTCGGACCGAAGTAATCTCTGGGGTTGGTAGGGGGATAAGCGGGCCCTCAGGTACGCCAGCACCAGACCACATAAGGCATTAAAGGTTAGTACCAGCACCTTGAAAGTAATCCGGTACTCAATCGGTAGCCAGTGCAGCTGTTGTAGAATTGGGGTGATACGACACCTCGCTGGCACCCCGGCGAGAAGATGGGGTGCCAATTCTCTTGTTGAATTCCATACAGGTTGTTTTAGCAGCAGCAATGAGATGGCTAATGTTGTTCTCTTCTTTGCCAGCACTGAGGATGCATTTGTAGGAACGAACCACAAACATGGTTAGTTTCTGAAGTAGTACAGAACTTGCCAACGCCTCCACTCATTATGAAGAGTCTAAACAGAATGTTTAAACCAATCCCTTTTGGGTAATTTCACAGCTGGTAGGCTGGAGGTTTAGCACAGCTGGTAAATCATCAGCAATAATATCAATCAACCAAAAGGTTGCAAGTTCGAAGCCCCAGGTTGGCATGAGCTGCCAACTGTCAGCCTAGCTCATTGTTTACCTAAGCAATTCAAAAAAGCTTTAGCTGTGATTAGAGAAATTAGGTACCGCTAAAAGCGGGAGAGGTGTTTTACGACGCCATAAAGAAAGAAGATCAGAAAATGCTGGGCAACCAAAAGGAAGGAGGAAGTCCTGACAGCTCTTCGTCATAGAGGATAGAGCAACAGCACCCCCTGGACTCGAGCCCAACCTCCCATGGTATTAAAAAACAGCTGGACACTGAGTCGAAACAAACCACCTCCTTCTGTTCTGTCTGTCTGTGTATTGTCTATACAAAGCGGCAGTGAATGTTTGCTGTGTATATGTACAGTGATCCACCTTGAGTTCCCTTCAGGGTAAAAAGGGGGGGACTATAAAGAAACTGTTGCTGTTGTTGTTGTTGTTGTTATTTGAAACACAACAAGATGAGTCCACATAAGACAAGATCACTCTGCTGACTGTTGTATTGGATCACACATCGGACATTTCCCAAGTGTCTAGGACTGTGTGATGTATCAGCTAATAATGCGTGCAGATCCCAGTAAAGTGGCCTTCTGCAGCTGGCAGGTGATAATTTTGTCAGCACCGATTGTGTTTAAGTGCAGCCCAAGGTCTTTAAGCACTGCACCCACTGGTACCACCTTGACTGGCTTGTGCCAGAGTCTTTGCAGTTCGATCTTTAAATCCTCATATCGTGTCAGCTTTTCCAATTGTTTCTCTTCAATCCTGCTGTCACCTGGGATTGCAACATCGACAATCCATACTTTGTTTTTTTACACGATCGTGAGGTCAGGAGTATTGTGCTCCAAAACTCTTGTCTGTCTGAATTCGGAGGTCCCATAGTAGTTTGCCGTGTTCACTCTTTGTAACTTTTTCCGGCTTGTGATCCCACCAGTTCTTTGTTGCAGGCAGATGGTATTTGTGGCACAGGTTCCAATGAATCATCTGAGCAACGGTGTTATGCCTCTGCTTGTAGTCTGTCTGTGCATCTTCTTGCAGCAGCTGAGGATGTGATCTATTGTTTCATCTGCTTCTTTGCAGAGTCTACATTTGGGATCTGTCGTTGACTTTTCAATCATTCTCTCCTGATGTTTTTGTTGGGGTACAGCCTGTGTGTGAACCTGAACCTAATTCTCTGATTGTATTTCCTGATGCCAATGTAGATGTCAATGTGAATTCTGAGGCCAATTTAGATGATGATGGTTTGAGTAGTGAAAATCCTACAGCCTTGGAAAGTGAAAGTCAAAATTCCCATGAGAACATGCATTCCGAGCCGAGCGGAGAAGTTTCACTCCCTTTTCCTCCCAGCCTTAGTTCTCCAGAGAATCTGACACCTGGTCTGCCTAATGAGGATAGGCGGGGGCAGATTTGGCAGAGCCGGGGAGAAGCACAAAGTTTACGTAGGTCAGCTAGATTGAGAGAAATGCAAACAAAAACTTCAGGCGTGTCTCGCAGTAGATTTCTGGGCCTTAAGTATGCCTGGCCTGAATGCAGCTTCAGACCAGGCATCGTTCCAGATTCATGTGCAAGCTTTTGCAGGTCACCTGATTCAAGTGGCCTTGTTTCTCAGAGGTTTTCTAGTTGTTCCAAGTACGGTTAGTGGATTGCTAACAGGTTCCAGGATTCAGCAGTTTTGCTGTGGGTTTTATGATCTTGTTTATGGACATTTCTTGTTGCTGATTTTTACTGTGACTTTTTACCTTTGCATTTTTCCTCTATTTTGTATTCATCTTTCATCAATAAAAAAGGATTGTTTTCCTGAAGTCAGGTGTGGTGGATTGAGCGTCCAGTTTCCTACTCTGGGTTGCAACAACAAGACCAGGCTACTTGAGCTGAAATTGTTCTAGTAATTCTGTTTCAATGTGTTGTATTTCTTTCACGTAGATATATCTAAAGATACTAGCTGAATTTGCCAGCTGTCAGTCAAGTGCCTCTGCTTTGCACCAAAGAGATGCAGATTAATACATTGACAGTTAAATTATGTTACTTGTTCGACAGGAAGCTGAGCTGGAACGCTTGGAGAGGGAATTTGCCATTCAGTCGCAGATCACTGAAGCTGCTCGACGCCTAGCCAGCGACCCCAATGTCAGCAAGAAGCTGAAGAAACAAAGGAAAACCTCCTACCTTAATGCACTGAAAAAGCTTCAGGAGATTGAAAATGCCATCAATGAGTATCGCATCAAATCTGGAAAGAAGCCAACGCAAAGAGCTTCCCTGATTATAGATGGTAAACAGGATTGAAATGTTATTGTACTAATACCTTATTGGTAGTCTGATGAGAAAGTTGGTGGCTTGCCAGCAGAAGACTTTGCTTCTTATTTAAATGATTTCTGGAACACTCACACAAAGGTTTCTAGAAGCATCCGAATCTAAATCTTGTGCAGATGACACACTTTTTAGTTGATACATCATGTACAAATCCCACCTTAAGACATTGCTGTTTATATGTCCTGCTTCTTGGTTTCATTGAAGCTGGGTTGGCTGCTGTTGGAAGCAAGGGTGCTAAACTGTAAAAAAATACCTTAATCTGACCCGGCAGAACTCTTCTTCCATTTGCAGTTTCTCATGTGCTTGCCATGCTTAGTTTTTATGCACTTAACCAAGCAACCATAATGATCCTTCTATGTGTTTTCTCTTCACAGATGGAAATATTGCCAGTGAGGATAGTTCCCTATCGGATGCTCTAGTTTTGGAGGATGGTATGTAAAATTTGTGGAGCATAGCAATCTATATTATCTTATATCAGCACAATCACTGTAAAACTGAAGGTTGTGTTACAGCAAACGTGACAAAATATTACTAGAACTACGTACTGTTTCCTGTTGGCTTCAGTGACATCTTTGTCATTTCCAATTAAAATTGCTGGAATATGAATGTAGATTAAGTTCCGTTCACCTTCCATGAAACTGACCTCAACAAATATGCTATTAATTCAGCTCTCTTTCACCCTTCTTTATCTCAACATGTTAATTTTTTAGGCATAAACCTATTATTAGGGACTGTGGCTCAGCTGGTTGGGAGTCATCTGCATTAAGATGACTACTGACCGAAAGGTCATGAGTTTGAAGCCAGCCCTGGTGAGAGTGAGCTTACAACCAATTTGTGTAGCTTGCTGTCAACCTTTGCAGCCCGAAAGACAGTTGCATCTGTCAAATAGAAAATATAGGTACCACTTATGCGAGGAGGCTAATTTAACTAATTTACAAGGCCATAAAAATCTCCAGCAAGCATGCAAAGAATGAGGAAGTACTTCATCAGTGTCACAAATGGATGGTGAAGCAACAGCTCCCCTGGTGGCCAGAATATCCTCATGAAAAGCTGGAATGTTAAATAGCCTCTGTGTCTGTCTATATATGTTGTGTGTCTATGGCAGGGGTCCTCAAACTTTTTAAACAGAGGGCCAGGTCACAATCCCTCAAACTGTTGGAGGGCCAGATTATAATTGAAAAAAACATGAATGAATTCCTATGCACACTGCACATATTTTATTTGTAGTGCAAAAAACACTTTAAAAACAATACAATAATTAAAATGAATAACAATTTCAACAAATATAAACTTATTAGTATTTCAATGGGAAGTGTGTGCCTGCTTTTGGCTGATGAGATAGGATTGTTGTTATTGTTGTGTTCTTTCAAGTCATTTCAGACTTACATTGACCCTGAACGAGGGCTGGGTAAATGACCTTGAAGGGCCGTATCCGGCCCCCGGGCCTTAGTTTGCGGACCCCTGGCAGGGGCGGCTCAACCCATTACGCAAAGTAAGCATTCGCGGTATAGTTGATTTTGCCCAAGGGACGCTCTTGAGGCGCTCTTGGGGGAAAATAGACCTTGACATATGCAAGTTGTAGTTACTGGAATATATAGTTCACCTACAATCAAAGAGCATTCTGAACTCCACCAATAATGGAATTGAACCAAATATGGCACACAGAACTCCCATGACGAACAGAAAATATATATCAGTGATTGGTTTGGGGGGGGGGGGCAAAATACTGTTTGCTTACCGTTGAAAATTACCTAGGGCCACCTCTGACCCCTGGTCTATGGCATTGAATGTTTGCCATGTATATGTACATCGTAATCTGCCGTGAGTCCCCTGTGGGGTGAGAAGGGCAGAATATAAATACTATAAATATTTTTGTGTGTGTGTCAGGAAACTGCAAGTCACTTCTGCTATGAGAGAATTGCCCGTCTGCAAGGACGTTGCCCAGGAGACACCCGGATGTTTTTGATGTTTTACCATCCTTTTTGGGAGGCTTCTCTCATGTCCCTGCATGGGGAGCTGGAGCCGACAGAGGGAGCTCATCCGCGCTCTCGCTGGTTTTGAACCAGTCCTGCCAGCACAGGGGTTTAACCCACTGCTCCACCGGGGGCTCCATTAATTAATTAATTAATTAATTAATTAATTAATTAAATTATTATTATTAATTATATCCCTTTTTTTCTCTCTTAAAAAAGAGACTCAGCTTCTTAGACGTGGACCTCCCACATAATAGATGGTACTATATATTAAATAATCAAGGTAATTTGTGTTTTCTCTTCCAATTTCAGAAGACTCTCAGGTTACCAGCACAATATCCCCTTTACAGTCCCCTCACAAAGGCCTCCCTCCACGCCCGCCCTTGCATAACAGGCCACCCCCTCCCCAGTCACTGGAGGGACTCCGGCAGATGCACTACCACAGGAATGACTATGACAAGTCCCCTATCAAGCCGAAGATGTGGAGTGAGTCATCCTTGGACGAACCTTACGAGAAGGTCAAGAAGCGCTCTTCACACAGCCATTCCAGGTAAGCCAGGAAAAGATTGTGAAGTTCAGTTTCAAAAAGTAAAATCAAATGTCCATCATGGATTTGGATACTGGCTGTAGTCCCAGTGGTGCCTGTAGTTGTACATAGTGTCAGCCCGGCAAAAAAGTTTCTGCAACCATTCTAATAAAGAAGTCAATTTTTTTTAAAATTTAAAGGATAACCATTAATTACAGCCTGCTTCTTCATTTCGGGGGTGGATTGCGATGGAAATGTTTGAGAAAATCTGTAGTTATTGCTATGTGTGTATAGTCCTGGTCCAGCCTTATAATAAAGAATGTTTCAAAATGATGGACCCAATTTCAAATCAGAATATTTCATGATGGCATCATGTTACAAATGCACAAAAAATTACACACCATTTAACAAGCTACCAAGTTTTACTAAACACTCTGCTGATATTGATGAAAAGATTCAACTGTATTTATTTATTTATCGTGTCATCAGCAACCAGACCATTGTATTACATTTCTAACAGAACAAAACAAACAAACAGATAAAAAACACAAATTTTGCAAACTTGGTAGTTGATTAAATGTCCTTTGACCAGTATCTGGCCACTTGGAGTGCCTCTGGTGTTGCCACAAGGAGGTCCTCCATTGTGCATGTGGCGGGGTTTCGGCAGTGGCCAGGGGGGCTTTTGCACAGTTAAAGCTTGTGCGCCAGCTGCACCTGTACCTTGGGAAGTCTGACTTGGCCACAGTGGTCCACGCTCTGGTTACATCTCGTATAGACTACTGCAACGCACTCTACATGGGGTTGCTTCTGAAGACTGCCTGGAAGCTGCAACTAGTCCAATGCTGGGCAGCCAGGTTGCTCACAGGAGCTGGGTACAGAGAGTGCACCACTCCCTTGTTGCGCCAGCTCCATTGGCTGCCAATTAGCTTCCGAGCACAATTCAAAGTGCTGGTTTTAACCTACAAAACTTTTTACGGTTCCGGCCCGAACATATTCTACCCTACAAACCATCAAGGGCGTTAAGATCTTCCGGAGAGGCCCTGCTCTCGGTCCGCCACATTCACAGTCATGTCTGGTGGAGACGAGCAACAGGGCCCTCTCTGTGGTGGCCCCCATCTATGGAACTCTCTCCCAAATGAAATTAGATCTGTCACCTTCCTCCTTATCTTTAGGAAGCAGGTGAATGGCTGTGGAACGAGGCATTTACAGAATGCAGGCGAAACGTCAGGAGAAATGCCTCTAGAACATGGCTCTATAGCCCGAAAAAACCCACAAGAACATAGTGATTCCAGCCATGAAAGCCTTCGACAATACATTTACAGAATGATGGCTGAGACCAGTAATTGACTAGTGTATTGACTACAATGTGCGGATTGAGTTTGATGTTGTTTTAATAATAATAATAATAATAATAATAATAATAACAACAACAACAACAACAACACTTTATTTGTACCCCGCTACCATCTCCCCATGGGACTCGGTGCGGCTTACATGAAGCCGAGCACAAACACAACAATACAAGCAATAACAACACAGTACAAGCAATTAAAAATAACATAGACAGTAAGATACACAACATTATCAAAAAAACCAACACAATTAAAAACAGTGGGAAGGCCAAATGTACAGTTAAAATTGGAAATAATGTTGGGACATAGACGAAAAGGAGATAGTGGTGTTTGCGGAAGGGCATACGAGCAGACCTAAAGAAATGTAAAGTGCTTTGGAGGACAAAGTGCTATGGGATCATTATTCCGGGAAGGCACACTGGAAAAGCCACGTCTTCAAGCTCCTCCTGAAGACTGCCAAAGTTGGGGCCTGTCTGATGTCTTTAGGGAGTGTGTTCCAGAGTCGAGAGGCCACCACCGAAAAGGCCCTCTCTCTTGTCCCCACCAGTCGCGCCTGTGATGCTGGTGGGATCAAGAGCAGGGTCTCTCTGGATGATCGAAGGGATCGTGTGGGTTTGTATATGGAGATGCGGTCACGCAGGTAGGCGGGTACCAAACCGTTCAGGGCTTTGTAGGTAAGAACCTGCACCTTGAATTGGGTCCGGTAAATGAATGGCAGCCAGTGGAGCTCCTTGAACAGGAGGGTTGACCGCTCCTTGTAAGGAGCCCCAGTTAACAACCTGGCTGCCGCCCATTGGATCATCTGAAATTTCCGGGCCGTTTTCAAGGGCAGCCCCCCGTAGAGTTCATTGCAGTAATCCAGTCTAGAGGTGACTAAGGCGTGGACCACTTTGGCCAGATCCGCCTTCCCGAGGTACGGTCGCAGTTGGCGCATGAGTCTTAATTGTGCAAAGGCCCTCCCGGCCACCACCAATACTTGAGCTTCAAACGTAAGTGAAGAGTCCAGGAGGACTCCCAAACTGCGGACCTGTGACTTCAGGGGGAGTGCAACCCCGTCCAGCATAGGTTGCCACCCTATACCCCGGTCTGGTTTACGATCGACCAGGAGGACCTCTGTCTTGTCGGGATTAATCTTCAGCTTGTTCGTCCTCATCCAGACAGCCACAGCGGTCAGGCACTCATCCAGCACTCGAGGGGCTTCCTTGGAGTTTTTTCTTGGCGAACTGGTTTTATATTATTTTATCTTATTGTATTTTTATCCACTGTTATTTATTATGTTTAAATGGTTTTATTGTTAGCATTGAATCCTTGCTGTGAACCTCTATGGAGGTTAGAGAAGAACGGTATACAAAAGTTTTAAATAAATAAATAAATAATATAAAGTAAGCCCTGCTGGGACGGAGTAAATATTAAGAATTGTTAATGCTGACTAAGAAGCTTGTCGAAAACAAAATGCATAGGTAACAAATAAGATGGAAATGCAAATTCGGGATGAAGCGGGATTGCTCCTTGAGCACCACATTGCCTTTTGTTTCCAGCAGTCACAAGCGGTTCCCCAGCACAGGGAGCTGTGCAGAAGGTGGAGGGAGCAACTCTCTGCAAAACAGCCCCATTAGGAATCTTCCCCATTGGAACTCCCAGTCCAGCATGCCGTCAACGCCAGACCTACGGGTACGCAGTCCACATTATGTGCATTCCACTAGGTAAGTCCTTCCACTCCACGGTTTTAGCCGTTTGTCTCCCATTGTAGGTATGAAGTCTCACATCCCCATTGCTTTGTGCTTCCAATTCATCAAGTGATCTAGGAGTCAAAGGAAAGCAGGGAAGTCTTCTCGCCATTATTTTCCCATGTTGCTGCTACATGCAGTTTAATGCAAGTTGGTTATATATTTAATCTCTGCACAATTTAAAACTAGATAAGAGGAAGAGCTTTGTGTAAGACTATGTGTAGTATTAGGGCACTGCAATTACTGTTCTTGTTTTTTCTGTTATCACTTCTTTTTATGGGATCAAATAGTTTAGGCCTGTTTGATGTTATGAAAGGCTAGAAGAAGAAAAATGATTTTCTTTGTTTTATAAGGTGGACTATTTCTTGTGGCTTATTATTTTTTGCCTGCCCCCTGGAAAAACCAGTTCAGGTGTTTAATGATGATAATAATAATAATAATAATAATAATAATAATAATAATTTATTTGTACCCCGCTACCATCTCCCCAAGGAGGCGCAATGGGTTAAAGCACTGAGTGCTGAGCTTGTTGATCGAAAGGTCGCAGGTTCAATTCCGGGGAGCGGCGTGAGCTTCCACTGTCAGCCCTAGCTTCTGCCAACCTAACAGTTCGAAAACATGCAGATGTGAGTAGATCAATAGGTAATGCTCCGGCGGGAAGGTAACGGCGCTCCATGCAGTCATGCCGGCCACATGACCTTGGAGGTGTCTACGGACAACGCTGGCTCTTCGGCTTAGAAATGGAGATGAGCACCACACCCCAGAGTCAGACATGACTGGACTTAATGTCAGGGGACTACCTTTACCTTTACCATCTCCCCAAGGGACTCAGTGCGGCTTACATCATTATTATTAATAATAATAATAATAATAATAATAATAATAATAATAATAATAATAACATTATTTATACCCCGCTAACATCTCCTGAAGGACTCGGTGCGGCTTACAAAGGCCAAGGCCCTCAATAAAACAACAGCATAACAAATACAACAATAAAACCCATAAAGCAAAACAATAAACATTAAAGCAATGACAATAAAACATTAAAACAATAACACCATGATACATTTAAAACTAAAGGCCGGGCCAAATGTAATGAATAAAATTTAAAAGTGCTGGACATGACAGGTGAAATGTAAAGGATTTTAGAGGTAGGTGCGATGTGCAGACAATAAATCTCTAATAAAGTGCATTTGGGACATGAAGCTTGGAGTTTCCTATTCTGGAAAGGCACACTGGAACAGCCAGGTCTTCAAGCTCTTCCTAAAGACTGCCAATGTTGGGGCTTGTCTGATGTCCTTGGGGAGAGAGTTCCAGAGTCGGGGGCTACCACAGAGAAGGCCCTGTCCCTCGTCCCCACCAAATGCGCTTGCGACGCAGGTGGGATCGTGAGCAGGGCCTCTCCAGATGATCAGAGGAATTGTGTGGGTTCATATACGGAGATGTGGTCCCGCAGGTAGGCGGGTCCCAAACCGTTTAGGGCTTTGTAGGTGAGCACCTGTACCTTGAATTGGGCCAAGCCCACAGTACATCAATAAACATAGGCAATAACAAATAATCAATACAAAACAGTTAAAATAAAGCTCCTAAACCAAAAATCTATATAAATAAAAATGTAATGTTCGTTTGTGGGATTAACAGAACTCAAAAACCACTGGACGAATTGACACCAAATTTGGCCACAAGACACCTAACAACCCAATGTATGTCCTTCACTCAAAAAATTGATTTTGTCATTTGGGAGTTGTAGTTGCTGGGATTTATAGTTCACCTACAATCAAAGAACATTCTGAACCCCACTAATGATGGAATTGAACCAAACTGGGCACACAGTTCTCCCATGACCAACAGAAAATACTGGAAGGGTTTGGTGGGCAGTGTCCTTTGGTTTTAGAGTTGTAGTTCACCTACATCCAGAGATCACTGTGGAGTCAAACAATGATGGATCTGGACCAAACTTGGCACACATACTCAATATGCCCAAATATGAACACAGATGGAGTTTGGAGAAAATAGACCTTGACATTTGTGATTTGTAGTCACTGGGATTCACAGTTCACCTACAATCAAAGAGCATTCTGAACCCCACGAACGACAGAATCGGGGCAAACTTCCCACACAGAACCCTCATGACCAACAGAAAATACTAAAGGCCATCCAGTCCAACTCCCTTCATCAGGGCAAGAAAATGTAATCAAAGCTCTCCTGACAAAGAGCCACCAGGCATAGATATAGATAGATAGATATGATTCACACACACACAGATATAGTATCATAGATTTGAAAGGGACTCCTAAAGAAGGACAATTATATGTTGCATGTTCCAGGGTGGGCAAACCAGACAATCTCCACATCAACACTGACAAAGAAACAGCAAGAAATACTGTTTACCCACAAGCACAAAGAAATTACATATATCAGAAACCAATACTTTCTCGTTACTTTATTTTCCGGATCAACAGACTGGGCCACAGCAACACGTGGCAGGGGACGGCTAGTAAATAAATAAATAAATAAATTTCAATGGGAAGTGTGGGCCTGCTTTTGGCTGATGAGATAGGATTGTTGTTATTGTTGTGTGCTTTCAAGTCATTTCACACCATAACTAATGGTGGAGGTGCTGGCAGCTGTAGTTCAATGTTAGCACTGATCTAGAGGCAGTAGATCAGTTTGTAAGGTACCGTGCACCTAACTCTTCTTTCCCCACCTCTGTGCTTGCAGGTCAGTGGACATCAGCCCTACCAGATTGCATAGTTTAGCACAGCACTTTAGACACAGAAGCTCCAGCTTAGAATCCCAAGGAAAGCTCCTTGGGTCAGAAAACGAGACAGGGAGCCCCGATTTCTACACCCCCAGGACTCGTAGCAGTAACGGCTCAGACCCCATGGATGACTGCTCCTCCTGCACCAGCCATTCCAGCTCTGAGCACTACTATCCTGCTCAGATGAATGCAAACTATTCCACGCTGGCTGAGGATTCCCCTTCCAAAGCTCGGGAGCGCCAGAGGCAGAGACACAAGTCGGCGGGGAATCTTGTCTCCTCCAATTCAGGTAGCATGCCCAACCTGGCTGCCAGGAATGGGACGGGCCACCATGGAGTCTATCTGCACAGCCAGAGCCAGCCTTCCTCCCAGTACAGGATCAAAGAGTACCCACTGTACATTGAAGGCAGTTCCACGCCTGTGGTGGTGCGCAGCCTGGAGAACGACCAGGAGGGACACTATAGTGTGAAAGCACAATTTAAAACATCCAACTCGTACACGGCAGGGGGACTGTTCAAGGAGAACTGGCATGGGGATGAAGTAGACTCTCTAAGATTGACTCCCTCCCGTTCTCAGATCATACGGACTCCATCTCTGGGCAGAGAGGGTCACGAGAAGGGGTCAGGAAGGACAGTGGTGTCTGATGAACTGAGGCTGTGGTACCATCGGTCCACAGCCTCCCACAAAGACCATAGCCGCTTGTCGCACACAAGCTCCACTTCGTCGGATAGCAGCTCCCAGTACAGCACCTCCTCTCAAAGCACCTTTGTGGCTCACAGCAGGGTAACAAGGATGCCTCAGATGTGTAAAGCAACATCAGGTGAGAGTGTGCTGAGTTGTCTCCATGTTGCGTTCAGGGAGTAATTCCTGGGACAGGCTGGTAGGGCAGTGAGAAATGTCTTCACAGCCACCTACCCATGCAAGGGCAAGGCTTGCTGCATCTCTGTATGCTTCACTGCTCTGGCTTTTTTGTAAACGAAGCCATGTGCTTGCCCCATGAAGGAGGATGAGCCGTAGGGAATATGGTACCAGAAACTAGGTTCATACAAACAGATTTGAAGGTGCAACAAGAGCCTTCTAAAGTTGAGATATTGCCATGGCCAGGTAATGCCAGATGTTTCAGCCTGAGCTCTCCCAAGCCTAACAATATGGTGCTTTGTATTGTCGAAAGATTTCATGGCCGGAATCACTGGGTTGTTGTAGGTTTTTTCGGGTTAGAACAGTGGTTCTCAACCTGGGGTCCCCAGATGTTTTTGGCCTTCAACTCCCAGAAATCCTAACAGCTGGTAAACTGGCTGGGATTTCTGGGAGTTGTAGGCCAAAAACATCTTGGGACTCCAGGTTGAGAACCACTGCTCTAGAACGTGGCCATATAACCTGAAAAAACCTACAGCAACCCAATATGGTGCTTTGTTCTACCAATGGAACAAGATGATATATGTAAGGTACTTTAGCTGCTTGTTGTAGTACTCCGTCATAGTACTATATTGTTAAAACTGAAAACAAACCAATTATGGTACCAAATTATAATGAGAACGTTCTTCTCCTTTCTTGGGATGAACTCCAAAGGATGAACTCCTTTCAAAAAAGCAGTAGTTTTATGTTCACCAAAAGCAGTCTCTTCTTTAAGGTGTTGCTTTAAGGAGCAACATCACATGAATTTTAATTTTAATTTTGCTATGAGGACATACATTATAAAGCGTTAAGACATTTCAGGCACAGTATGTCAATATTTTGATTCTGTTAGCTTGAGAGGAATGTAATTGAGGCATGTGTTTTCCCTAAAGGCATTGGTTGGAGAGAAAAAACTGTTAAGACACCGTTTCGGGGAGGAACTGGACCCCAGGCCGTATTTATTGCTAAAGCTGGCAGTTTACCTCCTTTTCCAAATTGCAACTAGTGGTTAGGCAATATTTTGAGCTTGGTGTATCAAAATTTGCCAAAAACTTGAGCATAACTAGGGTAGAGTGTCACTTTGAGGGGAAAAAAACATAATTTTGCAATATTTATAGTTTAAATAAGAAAAATGTATAATCCATGCTGAGATATGGAGTGAACAATGCTCAAACGTGCAGATGTTAAATTTGTAGAGCCTTTTACAAATTTAAGGATGGAATTAGATTGGCTCTTATAAGGTGTATTTCTCTGTATGTGGCCGCATGTGTCATCAAAAATAGCCATGCATGTCAGTGCTGACACGCGTGTCATAGGTTCACCATCACGGGGTTAGGCAATGGTTCTCAACCTGGGGTTCCTGGATGTTTTTTGCCTACAACTCGCAGAAATCCCAGCCAATTTACCAGCTGTTAGGATTTCTGGGAGTTGAAGGCCAAAAACATCTGGGGACCCCAGGTTGGGAAGCACTGGGTTAGAGTCATGTGTCTCTGCATTACAATGATGGCAACAGCAATAAGCTGGTGTACTTACCAACAGTACATACGAAGCACAGACTATGCATATGACAGTTCTGGAGTGGGAGGGATAGGGTGTCCGTCCTTCTATTCTCATGGAATTAACCAAAGTGTTAAGCAAAATGTCAACCTTTATACTGACTGAATGTATTGGCATCAACAAGAAGAGAAAGTGGACTTGTGGTGGTAAGCTGTGGCATTGGCAGTTATGAGATTATCTCAAGAAAGAGGCATGTTTGGTTGCCGTTCTGTCTTTTGCGACTGCACAGACTAAGCAGTACTGCTTGCTGTCCAACCTTGACTTGGTTTCTCAATTGTTTTCCAGCTGCCTTACCTCACAGCCAGAGGAGCTCCACTCCATCGAGTGAGCTGGTAGCCACGCCACCGAGCAGCCCACATCACATCCTAGCCTGGCAGACTGGGTAAGTCTTCAGACAGTGGAGGGGGAGGGGGGGGCAACATGAGATGACTCTGATTTCAACAGGATTCAAGTTTCCAACCTTATTTGTTTATTACACTGGCCAACAGACATTTTGATGTCTTAAATGTTAGACCTTTTCCTGGGTATATTTAACATGGCAATTCTGGAAATAGCACCAGTTTCCCCCCATTGGCTCTAGTTTTTGAACATGTGCCATATATCAGTTGCCATTTGCTTGCATATACAAAACCATGATAGCCGTTATCTAAGAAACTAGAACCGATGCAGTCAATCCAATGCAATTTTCTGAATCAGCACCCAAATAAACCCAGGAACAGACCTAAAAAGCAAGACAACAAGCTTTTTGTTGTTGTTGGGCTGTATTATACATCCTTTCAAGCCACTTAACAAAATGCCTTTTATTTATTTTTTTTATTTTTTTATTTACAGCTTTTATATTCCGCCCTTCTCACCCCGCAGGGGACTCAGGGCGGATTACAGTGTACACATATATGGCCAACATTCAATGCCAATTTTTGACATACAAACATATACAGACATACACAGAGGCTATTTAACTTTTTCTGGCCGCCAGGGGAGCTGTCGCTTTCATCGTCCATCTGCGATGCTGATGAAGCACTTCCGCATTTCCCGTTTTATGGCCTCATAAATTAGTTAATTTAGCCTCCCCACACTTTAAGGTGGTACCTTATTTTCCTACTTGACAGATGCAACTGTCTTTCGGGTTGCAAAGGTCGACAACGGGCTACACAATTGGTTGGAAACCCACTCCAACCCAGGCTGGCTTTGAACTCATGACCTTTTGGTTAGAGTGATCTTAATGCAGCTGACACTCAGCCAGCTGCGCCACAAACCCTTTTCACTCCTGTAAGTCATTTTTTCCACAACTACTGTAGAAACCATGCAGGTTCACACTTAGTGGAATTCTCTTGGATGTAACTGTAAAGGAGGAACATAGTGAAGGAGGGATCCTCGAAAGGAAATTGCAGAATCATAGAATCTTAGAATCATAGAGTTGGAAGAGACCTCATGGGCCATCCAGTCCAATCCCCTGCCAGCAAGGAAGCACACGCGCATAGAGACACGTCCCATGTGTATCACACCCCGACCGCGATGGACCATCTAGCCACTCTGTTTAGCCAACCGTCCCCCAGCGGCGGCTCCCCTGCAATCCGGGGCAGCGAGTTGACCCACTGCTGAACGTCTTGCTCACATTCAGGAAATGTCCTCGTGTCAGATGTGAATATTCTCCCCTGACACATGTAGTTGCCGCGCAAGTTTCACCACATTCTAGTCTCACAAGGACCCCAGACCCACACGCCTTGCCACACCACACCCTCCCTGAGACTTACCTCTACATGATTACGTATGTAGCATGGCTGAACATATCTCCTTCTCAGCCTTCCGTTCCTGTGGTATCAATCGCATTTGATCTGCCCTGCAGCCAAACGGTTCCTTTCGGTACCGCGCCCCCGTCTGTCCGGCCTTGGCCAGGGCATCCTATCCGCCCCCACAGGTCACATTTCCCCCCCCCCCTGTCTTCAACCAGCAGCGTGATCACACGTTATCTACTTGCCTCCCGTTCTTTCCCCCCTGTGCCCTCCCTCCCCTCTTGTCACACCCCATGTATGTGTCACGCCAGATCCTCCCACAAGTTAAAGCAGGGTGTCCGGGCCCCAGCCTCCGCCGACGCCCCGTTCAACACCTAGCACAGACACCGCGCACGGAGAGCCAACATGACGCCACTATAACAATCTCTACATTCAACCGGATTGTGGCGCAGTCGGCCTGCGTGGTGAGGCTATGCCATTCGAGTCCCTCTATGCCCACCTAGGTCCTGAGTTCCCCACAGCCCGCGCCTGGGGTGGTCAGTGGCGTTCCCACCTACTGTGTGAGCGCCCGGTCAGTATGCGCGGTCTCGCACCCTATTGGCACCAGGCCAAGAGCCAGTGCACACTTGTCCCCAGTCGGCCAGCATCGGTCCCGACCGTCACCGTGTCGGGGAGCCGTACTATTACCGCGCCTTATGAGGCCCTCGAGCAGCGAGATAATGCAGCAGATAAGGCCATGAGGACGCGGAGATCGGGAGAAGTATCAGTTATCCATCAGTGATCCGCGCACGGTACACCTTGTGTGAAGAGCGACAGTCTCGCATGCTGGCAGCCCGCACACCTGTTAACGCCCCACGCACCCGACAGCACACGATTGTAGCGGCACAAGAGTTTGAGCCTGTATGTCAAAAATTGGCATTGAATGTTTGCCATATATGTGTACACTGCAATCCGCCCTGAGTCCCCTGTGGGGTGAGAAGGGTGGAATATAAAAGCTGTAAATAAATAAATAATAAATAAATAATAATAATTTATTTATACCCCACCACCATCTCCCCAAGGGGACTCGGGAGACCGTTAAGCTAAATTATAAATTGTATTGTAGACAGTTAGGATAAATTATAAATTTTCCACTAAACAATAGGATTTTTTTATTTCTTGGGACCAAATTTATAGACAAGATCCAGTGACTAGAGTAATAGAGAAAGGGCAGGACCTGAGTTCAAATCCCTGCATAAACAAAAAATTTACTGGATCACTTTAAGGGGCCACAATTGTCACTTGAAAAACAACTTAAATTGCCCCATTTTTCTAATATTCCCTTCCCCAAAAACTCCCCAGGTGGCAAGACTGAATGTCTCAACTTTGGGATGCCTTCTGCAGCTGGGAGATAATAATATCAACAAGCCTGCTGTCAGGATTACTAAGGGTGCATGTGAAGCACTTTGAACCATGTTCAATATTACTGCTTTTTTCAGCCAGGCAGTTACTTGCATGCCAGGATACATTGTGAACACAGTACCAGGTTTCTTTCTGTCTTTCTGGAAACAATGCTACCTTTTCCAAACCCCTTTCTTGAGTTTTCACACAGAAGAAGAAGCATCCAAATTCTATTTTCACATACAGGATTCCCTCCACATTTGCAGGGATTGAAGTGTAGGAACCCCCATGAAAGAGGGGAAACCATGAAGATCTCTTGGGCCCCTAAGCCATATTTACCACACTCACACACTAAAGAAATACCTGTATGGAAATCAAGACTGGTGGAGTGGCACACACGTGCCCTACCCACCCTCCCTCCTGCTTTCCATCCCATTCCTTCTGACCAGGGTAAGTCAGTGAGCAAGGAAACCACCAGTTTGATTTCCTCCCAACAAATGCATCATAATTCTGCCCATTTGCAAATAGTCCACGAAAGTATAACCCACAAATGTGGAGGCACTGCCAGGGGCGGCTCAACCCATTATGCAAAGTAAGCATTTGCAGTATAGTTGATTTTGCCCAGGGGCGCTCTTGAGGGAAAATAGACCTTGACATATGCAAGTTGTAGTTACTGGGATGTATAATTCACCTACAATCAAAGAGCATTCTGAACTCCACTAATGATGGAATTGGACCAAATATGGCACACAGAACTCCCATGACCAACAGAAAATATATATCAGTGATTGGTTGTGGGGGTGCACCAAAATACTGTTTGCTTACCATTGAAAATTATCTGGGCACTGCTGTACTTCCTTATGTCACTAACTTCTTTTTGTCTGCCGAGGCAATCTGCCAAGCTGTTTCTCTCTGGATTAATAAGCTCTTAACAACGGTTTGTGTCACTGTTCTTCCTTAACATTTCGCCTTTCCTTTTCTTCTCCTGTTTTGTTTTTGGCTGGCCTCTGTTCAGAGATGCAACAGACAACTCACCCACTATGGATGAGTCTCAGTCTCCAACTCAACAAAGTACTGATGAATAGAGGTATAGTGAGGGGATGTTTTGTATTTTGAAACCCACCCCCGTCCCTCTAACCCACCATTATGTGTGTCGGTGTTGTTGCTTTGTAAAACAGGCTGTGCTGGAACTGCTTTTGACCCAAATTAGAAAAGCATGGGAATTTGGGTTAATAAGTGCCAGTCTGTTTAATTACTGGGTTGAAACATTGCTTATTATAAACAGTTACTGGGAGGGCATTTGCACATCTTTAGCAGCATATGTCTAACCATCACAGTAATGCCCATCTTTTCAAATTATCCACCTCAGTCGAGTTTCAAGAATGATCCAATCAGACTAAAATTTTAAAGCGATTTAAAATGCCGATTCTAAAAAAATCTTGGATAGAAAACAACATAACCATAAGATTAACAAAACAATATAAGCATAAAAATTGTCGCCATAACATACATACGAGGCGTATTTTTTAAGTAAGGTCCGTTTTGTTGTAGAAACTAGTAGTTCGCGCGCATACCGCAACGAGCGCGTGCTTCGTGTACCGGCATGCCTCGGGAACAACTGTGCTCAGTTTCCGCTCTGTAGCTAACCTGTATGGTTCTGTTCTGTGCTTTAAAAATGTTTAAGACGATCAACTCACCCGCCGCATGTGAGGTTCGCTCAGTGATACGGTTTTTGTCAGCAAGGAACCTGCCTGCTGCAGAAATCCATCGACAGATTTGTGAAGTATACGGTGATACCATTATGAGTGAAAGCAAAGTGTGTAAGTGGGTACGACAATTCAAAGATGGCCGTGACAACGTCCATGATGAGGACCGCTCAGGTTCCTTACTGACAAAAACCGTATCACATGTGGCGGGTGAGTTGATAGTCTTAAACATTTTTAAAGCACAGGTAGGCGGGTCCCAAACCGTTTAGGGCTTTGTAGGTAAGCACCTGCACCTTGAATTGGGACCGGAAAATGAATGGCAGCCAGTGGAGCTCCTTAAACAGCGGGTTGACCTAATCCCAGAATAAGAGTGGAACAAGTAGAACACAGTTTGTTTATTTATTTATTTTATTTACTTTATTTCTACCCCACTCTATCTCACCCCAAGGGGCACTCAGGGCGGCTTCCAATTTTGGCAAATAATCAATGTCACAATTATACAAAAATCAAACAATACACAATGCAACTAACCGTTAAAATCAAACAAACATATAAAATACAAATTAAAACCAATTAATACATATAAAAAGCATATATAGACATATATAAAAACATTGCACCAGCCTCAAAATTGTCATCCAAGTTGCTACTTATGCTGGTTCTGTGACAGTCTATTATTTTATTTAGACCATTTCTACCCCGCCCTTCCCACCCCTCGAGGGGGGACTCAGGGCGGCTAACACAGGCAACTATTCAATGCCAACAGTATCAAAACAGCAATATAAAATCCATTACATAACAATTAACCAGTGATATTAATTAAAATTACATAACCACATAGAACAGATCACAGAATCACAGGTCATAAAGCCATTTCCAATTTTCAAACAATCCTATTGTCTGAGTTCCGTGCCTAAAGTGCTGTTGTGCCCACTAGCCAAAGGCCTGGCTTCAAAACCACGTCTTTAGTTTTTTCCTAAAAGTAAGGAGGGAGGACGCCGATCTAATCTCGCTGGGGAGCGAATTCCATAAGCGGGGGGTCATCACCAAGAAGGCCCTGTCCCTCGTCCCCACCAGACGTGTTTGAGACGCTCGTGGTACCGAGAGCAGGGCCTCCCCAGTAGATCTTAAATTACGAGGTGGAACGTAGAGAGAGATACATTCAGATAAGTAAGCTGGGCCAGAGCCGTATTACACATTTTCCACTCATCAAATGCCTACTTCCACAGCCAAGATTTAACTTTTTTTAAAAAAACACCGGGAAGCAAGTATCTTGTCCCCACCAGTTGCGCCTGCGAAGTGGGTGGGACTGAGAGCACAGCCTCCCCGGCAGATCTTAACATTTAAACCAGCTCTTAGAGGGAAATATATTCGGACACATAATCTGGGCCAGAGCAGTTCAGGGATTTATAGGTGTAAAGCCAGCACTTTGAATTGTGCTCGGTAGCAGACTGGCAGCCAGCAGAACTGACGTAACCGGGGAGTTGTATACTTTATGCATGTTTCAATCTAAAAATGCATGTGTGTATATATATTAATAATCTTTCTACCCCTCTTCCTCCTTTCCCTACTCTAGGCATGCTTTTCTTTCTAATACAAAATTGTTGTTCTCATCTGTAACAACCTTTTGAAGTAATGAAAGTGATTTGGTGGCAAAGCTCAAGGGAAGTGGGCGTACAGTATGAACTAAGAGTAGGCAAAGATGTAGTCTCTGCCCAAAAATGTAGTCTCTACCCAGCTTCTATCAGCTATCGCTTGCCATTTGTCAAAGCCAATAGAGTATTCCATTAACTTTGAGAGAGGGAGAGAGAAGATTTTGCTTCTCTTAAGATTCAGCTTTGGCTGGTTTGTTTGCTAAGTGAATGAATTCAAAGATGACGAGGAATTGCCTTTGGATAATGTATTTAGAAAAGCCCAAATGCACGAGGGGCTGCCCACATCTAAAAGCCTCCGCATTAGAAGAGATTTATACTGAAATTTTACCTATTTTAACCATTTTATGGTTAAGATGGTAGGTACATTTGGGATGAAAAGGAGGAAAAAATACTAAACGTCATCACGAGCAAGGGTTTTGGCCCTCACTCAGTATTTGGCATCAAATAATCTGGTGAAACACTGCTGTGTGCCTTCAGGTCATTTCCAACATGGTAAGCTTGTCACAGGGTTTTCTAGCCACTATAAAATCTGTAGCTATGCCATTCTGGATAACTTGGTGAACAATTAAAGAACTGGACTAATAAATTGTGTAGGTTCTGAATCAGAATCTTTTGACATGACTAATTTGAGCAGACATCAAATTACAGATACAAGATAGGAAGGTATTCATAGTAAGACATGAAAGCCATGGAGGAAAGTTATGTTTTAGCTCAAGTCTCCTCAAACTTTTAAAGATTGTTTAAAGCAGGGGTCCTCAAACTAAGGCCCGAGGGTCAGATACAGCCCTCCAAGGTCATTTACCCGGCCCTCACTCAAGGTCAACCTATGTGTGAAACAACTACTTCTTTTTTTGTCGTGTCAGGAGTGACTTGAGAAACTGCAAGGCGCTTCTGGTGTGAGAGAATTGGCCGTCTGCAAGGCCATTGCCCAAGGAACGCCTGGATGATTTGATGTTTTTATCATCCTTGTGGGAGGCTTCTCTCGTGTCCCCGCATGAGGAGCTGGAACTGATAGAGGGAGCTCATCCACCTCTCCCCGGATTCGAACCTGCAACCTGTCGGTCTTCAGTCCTGCCAGCACAGGGGTTTAACTCACTGCGGAGACCAAAATCCACTGATTTGTCTCCACAGTTTTAGGGGAACCCATTTTTCTTTTTGGTTTAACTCACTGTGCCACCAGGGGCTCAACAACTTGAAAGCACACAACAACAACAACAACAACAACCCTATCTCATCAGCCAAAAGCAGGCCCACGCTTCCCATTGAAATACTAATATGTTTATATTCGTTAAAATTGTTCTTAATTTTAATTATTGTATTGTTTTTAAGTGTTTTTTTGCACTGCAAATAAGATATGTGCAGTGTGCATAGGAATTCATTCAAGTTGTTTTCAAATTACAATATGGCCCTCCAATAGTTTGAGGGACTGTGACCTGGCCCTCTTTTTAAGAAGTTTGACGACCCCTGGTTGATTGGTTGGTGTGTGTGTGTGTGTGTGTGTGTGTGTACACACACACACACACACACACACACACACACACACATATATATTAATTATATACCGGTCTTCTCGACCTCCGAAGAGGGACTCAGGCCAGTTCACAACAAAAGATTCATAACAATAGTTTAAAACATCACATCACATAATACACTAATACATAATACATAAAATACATTAAAATACAATAATATAATTACATACGGCCAAGTTGTCAGAATGAAATCATAATTCATCACCATCCATCCGTGTGTTTAAGGGTTATTGACTCACTCATCAAATGCTAAATTCCAGAGTCAAGTTTTCACCAGCTTTCTAAAAGTCAGGAGAGAAGGGGCAGTTCTAATCTCCAGTGGGAGAGAGTTCCAGAGCCGAGGGGCCACCACCGAGAAGGCCCTATCCCTCGTTCCCTCGTTTAAAGAAACATGAACAAATTCCTATACATACATCAAAAAGCCATGAAAGAACAATGCAATATTTAAAATTAAGAACAACTTTAACCAACAGTATTTCAAAGGGAAGTGTGGGTCTGCTTTTGGACGATAAGATAGTTACGTTAATTAGGATTGTTGTTGTGTGCCTTCAAACCATTTCAGATTTAGGCTGACCCCAAGTCTAAAGTTTAGGGCAGGGGCTGGGTAAATGACCTTGGAGGGCCACATAGTTTGAGGACCTCTGTTTAGCCCATCACCCCAGGCCTGACCCTCCTCCCTCCTATGTGACTACGGTTTTACTTCTTTGACCTAATGTGCACTTTCATCCCATCTCTCTCTCTCTCTCTCTCTCTCTAGGAGCTACAATGAAAGCTGTTATCTGGATTCTCCCATCTATCCAGATCTAGCCGACGTCCAGTGGTATGGACAGGAGAAAGCCAAGCCTGGGACGCTAGTGTGAATCCCCTTGACCTCAGCTGTTCAAACGCATCAATGCCATTCTGAAAATCACCTCACTGCCTCTCATTTGCCTTACCCAGATGCACTGGCGCCTGACACGAGCTTCAAGTCAAAGCACTTTTTGCTTAAGGCAACTAAAGAAGCTAATACTGAAACAACCACCTCTCCGTTATAGGTCTCTACCCAGTCGATAGTAAGTCTTGGTTAACTGCAGACAACCATGTGCCTCACACAGCTCACCCAAGAGCAGAGGGCAGTCAACTGGATTGAAAGAAGACACCAGTGAGAGGAAACAGTAAATACAAACCCTTTGTGGCATAAATAATCTTATTCTTGAGTCTGTAAAACAATTGTAACATATCACTGAACTCAAAATGCTGGTTAAAGATGCTGCAACTGTTACCACGAAATACCTAAAGAATAGAGAGTTGGGGAAAGACCCATTTCAGAAACAGGCCAGAATATTGTGATTTCTTCTGTGCTGCCAAAGATCTGAGTATCTATTACAAAACATTTCTCAGAAATTGACCCTTTTTATTGAAAAAATAGCCCTAGTGTTGTGTAATTTTTATCTTGACATCCTAAAACTGGCTATAGTTACAACCAATACCCCACTTCCTGTTAGTAAAGTAGAAAAATCACAAATTGTGCAACTGTGTTCTGCTGGCAACAGTGGAAGCAGAGCTGTACATACATCAGCAACGTACATGCAGACTGACTCACTCGTTCGCCCCATGTGGCACATAGTTCTGCCTCAGGGTTGTGTAGGACTGCAAGGTTGTATTTTTATTACACTGAGGGTCCTTCTACACTGTGGAGACCAAAATCCACTGATTGTGGTAATATGAAAATAACTAAATTAACTCAATGTATATATTACAAATGGAGCCCCCGGTGGCGCAGTGGGTTAAAGCACTGAGCTGCTGAGCTTGTTGATCGAAAGGTCGCAGGTTCGATTGCGGGGAGCGGCGTGAGCTTCCGCTCTGTCAGCCCTAGCTTCTGCAACCATGACAGATCCCTACTCGTGAGCTAGAATCAAATAGGTACCACGCTCTTCGGTGGGCACGGTAAACAGGGCAAAAGTGCTGCATGCAGTCATGCTGGCCACATGACCTAGGAGATGTCTACAGACAACACTGTCTCCTTGGCTTAGAAATGGAGATACGCATCACACCCCAGAGTCAGGCTCACCTGGACTTAATGTCAAGGATGAAAATCACTAAATTAACTAAATGTATATATTACACATACACATATCAAAAAAACAGGACTGCCACATTTACATTAAGTAGAAACAACTGGTCTTCTCTTGAAATATAAAACACAGTCTTCGTGTGAGTAAATGTCCTGTTCTTTATTCCATATGAGTAGACTCCAGTAGTCACATGAATTGACTCCAACCTGCAACCGGTTTCGACTCACAAGAGCCTTCGTCAGGCGGTTGGGTCTACAAACAACACATATCATGAATACACATATACATTTGAACAATTTGTTATAACAAGTTTGTAAGAATATATACAGACACTCTACTTACTCAAATTATCAAGAAAAAAGCTCAATTTTTGAGGTGAGAAATTCACCAAGAGTCTTCTGGAGGGGTGGATCCTAAGGGGACATAGATAGTGGCTAAAGGTACATTGTGACATGAGTTATAAACCATACATAGAGAAATATAATATCTATAAAACAAAAATAATATAATACTCGCAGCTAATGTGAATGTGGCAGTTTTTTTATATGTGTATTTGTAATATATACATTGAGTTAATTTAGTTATTTTCATATTACCACAATCAGTGGATTTTGGTCTCCACAGTTTCAGGGGAACCCATTTTTCTTTTTGGTCCTTCTACACTGCCATATAATCCAGATAATCAAAGCAGAAAATCCACATTACCTGCTTTGAATTTATGAGTCTACACTGCCATTATGAACCAGTTGAAAGCAGATAATCTGAATTTTAGGTCACAATGTAGAAGGTGCTTGAGGAGGTCATTATTGGCAAATACCAGTCAAGAAAAGCACAGGATCAATTAAGTTAGCAACCTAAGGAATGAGGAAAAAAAATAAGGAAAAGATCTCTGAATATATTTGTAAGTAGTTGCAAGCAAAACCACCAGTATTTTTTTCTTTCAAAGAATATCTGCAATCAACTGAGAAGAATACAAAATGGTTAACAAATAATTTAAAAAAAGAATAAAAAATGTCAAATCAGGAAGAAGCACACCATGGTCTGGTAAACTTTGTCTTAAGAGTGCATTACTATTATTATAGCAAAGGGCTGATTGACTGGCCAGGGAAGTGTGCAGTGCTTTGGCAGTGTTGTCTATTTGTCCACCAGCAAATTAGGCCACATTCCTCAATTACTGAAAACGAACCATCAACCTGTTTAAGAATCTTTCAGCTTGATACAAAACGTGACTGTCTGCCAATACCAAAAGAGAGAGACCTGTAAGTTTACATGTAACACTTGAGCAATGCTTTTTTTACAAGTCCCGAAAGCCATAACTGGTTTTGCTAGGAGACCGACCCTCACACTGCCACAACCGCCCTGTCCTCAATGCTCCTATTTGCTTTCGGACTGGAAATTACCTCCCAGGGGTCCCCTAAATCTAGGCCGATGCTGGAGCTGGCACATCAAAGAGTCTTCACTGTGGTGCTATGCTGTTTTTACACCATTGGGTAACTCAGTGTCTAGTACATTTCCCACATTGTGCATTTGTATCCATGCAGCAAAATAGAAACACTAGTAACCTTGGGTTGTTGTAGGTTTTTCCAGGCTATATGGCCATGTTCTGGAAGCATTTTCTCCTGACGTTTCACCTGCATCTATGCCAAGCATCCTCAGAGGTAGTGGAAGTAGGAAAATGGGTTTATATATCTGTGGAATGACCAGGGTGGGACAAAGGACTCTTGTCTGCTGGAGCTAGGTGTGAATGTTTCAACTGACCACCTTGATTAGCATTTGATGGCTTGGCAGTGCCTGGAGCAATCTTTTGTTGAGAGGTGATTAGATGTCCCTGATTATTTATTTATCGTGTCAGTGCAACCAGTCGGTTATATTACATTTCTAACAGAACAAAGCAAAAAAGAAATACAAAAATACAAAAATTGTGAGTTTGGTAGTTGATTAAATGTCCTTTGACCAGTATCTGGCCACTTGGAGTGCTTCTGGTGTTGCTGCAAGAAGGTCCTCCATTGTGCATGTGGTAGGGCTCAGGTTGATTGCAGCAGGTGGTCAGTGGTTTGCTCTTCTACACACTGGCATGTTGAGGATTCCACTTTGTAGCCCCATTTCTGAAGGTTGGCTCTGCATCTCGTGGTGCCAGAGCGCAGTCTGTTCAGCGCCTTCCAAGTCGCCCAGTCCTCAGTGTGCCCAGGGGGGAGTCTCTCATTTGGTATCAGCCATTGGTTGAGGTTCTGGGTTTGAGCCTGCCACTTTTGGACTCTCGCTTGCTGAGGTGTTCCAGCGAGTGTCTCTGTAGATCTTAGAAAACTATTTCTAGATTTAAGTCGTTGACGGGCTGATACCCAAACAGGGGATGAGCTGGAGATGTCTCTGCCTTGGTTCTTTCACTATTGGCTGCTACTTCCCGGCGGATGTCAGGTGGTTGTTTACTCTCTGTTGTTTTGCTGTTGTAATTTTTGAGTTTTTTAATACTGGTAGCCAGATTTTGTTCATTTTCATGGTTTCTTCCTTTCTGTTGAAATTGTCCACATGCTTGTGGATTTCAATGGCTTCTCTGTGTAGTCTGACATGGTGGTTGTGAGAGTGGTCCAGCACTTCTGTGTTCTCAAATAATAATAATAATAATAATAATAATAATAATAATAATAAGCATGTGGACAATTTCAACAGAAAGGAAGAAACCATGAAAATGAACAAAATCTGGCTACCAGTATTAAAAAACTCAAAAATTACAACAGAGAGTAAACAATCAGGCACATCAAATCACTCTCAACAAAAGATTCCCCCCAGGCACTTCCAAGCCATTAAATGCTAATGAAGGTGGTCAGTTGAAACATTCACACCTAGCTCCAGCAGACAAAAGTCCTTTGTCCCACCCTGGTCATTCCACAGATATATAAACCCATTTTCCTACTTCCAACAGACCTCACTACCTCTGAGGATGCTTGCCATAGATGCAGGCGAAACGTCAGGAGAAAATGCCTCTAGAACATGGCTATATAGCCCGGAAAAACCTACAACAACCCAGTGATTCCGGCCATGGAAGCCTTCGACAATACTAGTAACCTTTCTTTGATTTGTACAGAATCTCTCAATGGGTTCCATGGATTAAGTTGCTGCTAAGACTAAAAAGAAAAAAACCTTAAAATCTAAATGCTGCTGTTCTTTTCAGAGAGGGGAGACAGAAGTGTTTTCACTATAACTTTCAGCAAGGTGCTGTCTGAAAGCAGAGAAGGAACAAAAGCAGAAACAAGAGCAAAACAGATGGCATTATTAAAGCAAACACCACAAAAACGTTTCACTGAAAAGTTATTTTCATTGCATCTTTACAGGGAAAAAAAAAAGTTGTACAGGGTGAGGCGGCATAACTTCCTTTTTTAAAATGCGTGCCATTCAGTCTGTTGAAGACGTAGCAAAGCACTAGTGGTCTCATTCGAGAGGCGGGAGTATAAAGTTTTGTCCTTGCACAGTTCAGTTGCCGTCATGCATTGCAACAGTGAGGAGCGTGCTTTTGCCGTTGAGGCCTACTTTTTCGAGCGGATTTGGAGTGGCCAGCCCGCTCTCCAGATTTGGCCTCTTGTGATTTTTTTTCTATGGGTTTTTTGAAATCTCGTGTTTATGTGAACCGTCCAAGGACCCTACAAGATTTGAAGACCAACATCCAGGAAGAAATTGCCAACGTAACGCCTGCTATGCTGGCAAGAGTCATGACAAACGCCAGAAATCGGTTTACTCAGTGTATGGAGAATGGGGGACGTCACCTACCTAATTTGATCTTCAAAACTACATAAAACAAAACTTTAGGTATTTATTTATCGTGTCATCAGCAACCATACCATTGTATTACATTTCTAACAGAACAAAACAAACAGATTTTTTTAAAAAACACAGATTTTGCAAACTTTGGTAGTTGATTAAATGTCCTTTGACCAGTATCTGGCCACTTGGAGTGCCTCTGGTGTTGCCGCAAGAAGGTCCTCCATGTGCATGTGGCAGGGCTCAGGTTGCATTGCAGCAGGTGGTCAGTGGTTTGCTCTTCTCCACACTCGCATGTCGTGGATTCCACTTTGTAGCCCCATTTCT